TCTTCCTCAGCAAAAAGAGGAGGATTAGCATGGATGTTAGCTCAGGGCTGATCTTCCTCACACACACACACACAAAAAAAACTTGTAAAATATCCTTCGTCTGGCCATTGATGAGTAGGGTTTAATAGTGACTCAAACCAATAAGCCTTTTATGGCTTAACTATGGATGTAAGAGGTTTCCCCAAAAGGGAGTGCAAAAGAAGCATCCATTACAAGATCCACAATGTTCATTCCCAAAAACAATCTAAGAAAACAGAGGCCTTCATCGGGCAGACAGTAAGGACGGTATAGTGAAAAGGCTGTCTCTGGTCTTCCCTGGAAATGGGAGATGCCTCTAGCCACAAAGCTGCTAATCTGAGCGGGTAGGCAGATACTACTGGAATGCGATTTTTCCAGCACTAACAAGCAATGAAGGATGAGATGAAAAAGGCCCCTTATTGACTGGGACTCCTAATGAAAAACTCCCATGAGAGCTGAAACAGCCATACAAAGAGAATGTGTCTCAGAATCCCAGTCTATTCAACTGGCTGCCAAGATGCATGCTGATACATACATCCTCCAGGTGGCAGAGACCAGAGAAGACCTCACTGGTCACAAAGCCAAACTCTCAAGACATAGAACAAGACACAAGAAAAAAACCTCATCTTATATGCACATAACAGCTTTAGCTAAGCCTTAGGTCTCTCGGAGCCAAACTAATATCTAAGAGGGATGTGCTGTGGGGTTGGGGATTATGTGGTGTTTTACAGAGTACCTCATTGAACAGAAATTTCCTTGAGGTTGGTGTCCATCTATCCCATTCTGTGACCAAATTATCCTATCATGGGAATCTTCTGGACCTGGCAATCACCTTAATGGTTTTTAAATGCTTGATCCATGCCCACCAATTTTGCAACTTTGGCTTCCAATACATTCCTTAGCAATAGCTTTTACCATGTGTGCTGTTAACCCACAGCAAAAGTTCAGCGCACTCCACTTTGGTAGCCCAGATTCACAGGTTTGGATCCCAGACATGGACCTACTCCACTAATCAGCCACAGGTGGCAGTGTCCTACATATAAAAATGTAGATCAATATTGGCACAGATGTTACCTCAGGGCTAATCTTCCTCAAGCAAAAAAACAGGAGGATAGGCAACAGATGTTAGGTCAGGGCAACCTTCCTCACCAAAAAAAAAAAAAAAAAAAAAATAGGAAGGAGTGGGAAGAGCCCCTGTAGTTCCTCAGAGGCACATCATTGGGAATTAGTAGGACATCAGAAAGGCTGGTTATAAGGCTGAAGGCACCTGAAACACATAAGTTTGTAACAATCTGTTTTCCAATGTTCTGTTTCTTTGCAATAATAGCAGAAACTAGGAGGTTTTTGCTTTTGTGTATAGTGTTAAAGATTAAGAATTTTGGTGGTCTTTTTTATAGGTAACTCACCTAGGGTGTGAGTGAGCTGATTTGCCAAATTAACTAAATCTGGAGTGGACATAGTTTCCCATTCCACCCTGGTCCTTTTAACTAAAAGGGAAAGGTCTCAGTTCAGCCGGTTAATAAACACAGAGTTAAAACCCACCCAAATGGATTTAACATCTGAAGGAAGACCAGAATTTTGTTTGAAAACATTCAGAAGGCAATTATAATAGTCATGAACAAGTTCATCAGGGTTTTGTGCATAAGCCTGAATTTTGTTCCAATCAATAGGCTTAGGAAAAGCTACTGTAATTGCTTGGTGGATTTTCCCCTCAAGTGATTTAGCCTCTTGCCAAAAATTAGGGGTTTGTTTTTCCAAATCCCTTTCAGTCTTTCCCATTGGGCAAGGTTCATCTGATGTTTGGCTTGACCCTCACTACCAAGCATGTGAACAAACTGATATAGGTCTGAAAAACCAGATCGGTATGTTTGTATAACTATATTAAATTCTTCAGGAAACCTACAGGGACCCTCAGTTACTTACAAAACACTCTAACAATGGCTGGTAATTCAACCAGGGAACATAAGAGATTTGAGATTTGTTTGCATTCTCAGAAGACTTAAGAGCTTCTGAAGGATTCAGTGGAGGAAGAAACAGGGAGAGGCTTAGTGAAAAAGGGAAGTTTGGTGAAAGAATTAGAATGGGGAAGCTGAGGGTATAGAGGAGGTGTAGGCAGAATAGAAGGGAAGGAGGAAGATGGTGCTGTATTCAGCACCTAAGCACAAGGTGGCTGATGCATGTCTGGAGACAAAGGGGGTGGGGGAGGGGAAAGAGCGGCTTTGAAGCCATTTTTGTCTTCCTTTAATTGTTTATTTGCTTCAGTTAATCTTAAAATTTTATTTTGCAGAGAGGCAATTTTAGACTCCTAGAAATGTTTGGAAGCCCCCAAATACCAATAGAAATAGCTGTTCCATTCAGTTTGGCAATTTCAGAGTTATGGTTGTCCAATTTGGTTTTGAGAAAATTAAGTTTCAGGAGTTCAAAAGTTCCCCATTGCAGCCATTGGTGTTCTAAATTACTTTTCATTAAGTTGGTTCATTTAGTCAGGAAAGTGCGTGAGGATGACCCATGATTTTTAAACATAAAACCAGCCAGAGTCTCCAAATGGGGGTCAGAACCATTAACCATTTAGATGATTGGGATCCCATTTCTCAGAGGTCATTCTCTAGAGCAAAAGAAAAATTTTGAAATAGGCTGCAGGCCAAATACCAGCACAACTCCAATAGGAAAGCCTGGTTTCAAGAGGAATCAAACCAAAGACCAGCACAGTTCCAGTAGGAACAGTCTGGTTCTAAAGGAACCAGACTACAGTCTAGCACCATTCCAACAGGAACAGCCTGATTCGAAAGAAGTCAGACCAAAGACTGAACAGCACACTGCAGTAGGAACAGTCCTGTTCCAAAAGGAATCATGCCAAAGACAAAATGAGTAATTGCAAAAAAGGATGAAGCCTTTAACAGAAAGGACAGGTTCTGAATAAAGCCTGAAGAGCTTGAAACTCAAGGAGAGTGGAGCTCGAGATCTAGGAGAAAACTTACCCTCAAACTTGTGAAAGATAATCAACAGAAACCTTAAATCAGTCTGGAGGCCAGAATGGGGAGCTCTCATGCCCTGTGTCCATAGGAAAGCCCAACAGGAAAGAAAAAAACTTTCTCTTCCTGCCTAGCAACAGCTCAGCCAATTAGAGACAGTCACAACCCAGCCAATAAAAAGCCACTACACTTCAAACTTGCAGTCTCCTCCAATGGACTGCAACAGTTCTCCCAACTTCTGCTTCCTCTCTGTAAAAGTTTCTCCTCCCCTTGTTACTCCAGACTTGCCTGTGGTCATCAGGTTTGTAGACCTCATTTGCAATTCTTTGCTGATTCTGAACAAATGTATTTTTGTTGGATAAATAATTAGCTGTCTATTCGTTAAAGTCAACAATTTTATGGCTCATCCAGGGATTCAGAGAAGACTCCCAGTGACTCCAAGCCTAGTGAGCAAACAAATGTAGTGCCCACGAAAGAGTCTGTTGAACTTTCTGCTTTTCTCTCCAACCCTGGGGTTTGAGGGTACATCTTTCTCTTGGATCTTTCACCCTCTTTGCCTTTGAGGATCTCCAGCGTCTATTCAGGATCTATTTAAAGGCTGCATCTCTCTCTGGTTAAGGCCTTCTTTTATCTGCAGATACTCAGTTGGCTCTTCAGCTTGACTCTTCTCAATCAGACTGTTTCATTGGAACTGGTTGCTCAGCCTTAGACCTGATTCTTCTTGAATCAGACTGTTTCATTGGAACTGTGCCCTTCAACTTTTGGCCCAGTCCCTTTGGAATCAGGCTGTTCTACTGGAACTGTGCTGTTTACCCTTTGGCCTAACTCCTTGGAATTAGGCTGTTCTAGTGGAACTGTGCTTTCAGTCTTCAGCCTAACTCCTTCAACATTAGGCTGTTCCAGTGGAACTGTGCTGGTTAGCTGTCAGCCTGATTCCCTCAGAATTAGGCTGTTCTTTTAGAACTGTGCTGGTATTAAGGATAAGGTCGTTTTAAAAGTTAAAGTAGGAAAGAAATAGTACAAGTAGAAAAAAAGTGTAAGTATAGATATTTTCAGTCACTCCTGGAACCTCTGTTTTGTTAAAATTTCACTGCATCTGGCTCTGATAAAGAACAGGCAAATACATTTATGCAAATAAAGACAGTGTGTCATTGAGCTGGAAGTGATTTACATGGCAAGGGAGATCATATGAATCCTGTTTTCATATCCTGGGGGTCTAGGGGTATATGCTAGTAGCTAGGATTTTGCATGAACACAGGGAGAGAGCTTTCTGCATCTCTGGCCTCAACAGGGTGGCTTGACCATAGAGGCTGTTTTTCCCTGTGGATGTGTCTCAGAACTTCAGAGTAGGAACTGAGTCTGAGCAGAAGTTCCTTGGAGAAGATGTCCTCCTCATCCACATTGATCTTCATGGTCATCTTTTTCCTGGAGTCATTGGCTGCAATGTTGCAGAATGGCTTTATGGTTGCTGTGCTGGGCAGGGAGTGGATGCGATGCCACACACTGCCCTCAGGTGACATGATTGTGGCCTGCCTGGCTGCCTCCCAGTTCTGCCTGCATGGGATGGCCCTCCTGAACAACCTCATGGGCTCCTTTGGTTTTCGTTCCAGAGTTAACTATTTCAACATTTCCTGGGTCTTTATCAATACACTCACTTTTTGGCTTACTGCCTGGCTTGCTACCTTTTACTGTGTGAAGATCTCATCCTTCTTTCATCCTATCTTCTACTGGCTGAAGTGGAGGATTTCTCAGTCAGTGCCCAGGCTTCTGCTGGGCTCCCTGATCATATCTGGTGTGACAGTCATCTCATTAGCCAGTGGGCATAGCACTCTTGTGCAGATGAGTGTCTCTCAGAGTTCCCATGGAAACAGCACCCTGGCTGAAAGAATACAGACCATCTATCACAACTTTTTTCTGCCTAATAAAGTGCTTGTGTTGTTAATTCCCTTCCTCCTGTTTCTGGTGTCCACGCTCTTGCTCATATTCTCACTACACTGGCATTTGCAGCAGATGAGGAGCCACAGACCCGACCGACATGATCCCAGCATCCAGGCTCATATTGTGGCCCTGAGGTCACTTGCTTTCTTCCTCATCTTCTACACATTATATTTCCTGTACCTGATTATTGTTTCTATGCATATCACAACCCTGCAGAATCAGTGGCACTGGGCCTGGGATGTGGTGACCTATGCAGGCATCTGTCTGCACTCCAGCATCCTGTTGCTAAGCAGCCCCAAACTGAGAAAGGCCCTGAAGATGATGCTTTGGAAAACCCTGGAGAAATGGTGGTTGATCTCAAGTTATCAGTATCAATAACCACTATCAATGGACAAGCCCATGAGCATCAAGAATGAAGAAGTTTTGGTTGCTGTCCTTCTCTCTTTTCATTTCTTTCATTCTTTCCCACTTCTTCCACGCCCCATTAATTCTTTTTCCATCCCTCTCTGTTCCTACGATTCCTTCCACTGCTCCTATTCCCTATTCTGCATCCCAAACTACCTTGACTAGGATGATGACCTCATCTCCTCACAGGCATTTATCACTCTCTATACAAGCAACCCTAATTATATTCTCTAAGCATCATTGTGGTCTGTACTCCCTTTACAGAGACACGTAAGAGTTGTCAATTTTCTCTGTGGTCAACCTGAAGTGTTTATTTTTAATGGTAGCGTAAATTTTCCCACACTATCTACTTTGTGACATTAACTGGCCTCCTTATCCCTGCTCTGCTCTCTGCTCAGTCTTTCCATTTCAGCGTAGTAAAGCTTCTTTCCATCTCCCCACATGTTACTCCCTCTAGCCTGTAGTTGATAGGCCTACCTGGAACTTCCTTTTTTCCTTTCTCTGTCAATCTGTGCCATTCCCTTCTTTTCTACCCTCCTTAAGACCAATTCCACCAATGGAACTTTTGCAGTTTGATCCCCTGGAAGGTTGAGGCTAGGTATGAGTTTTGTGCCACTACAGGTCCTGTCCACGTTTGCATGGATTTGCTACATGTTGAATTAAAAGCAATTGTCTGATGGTGAACTGCTTCTAGGTTTTGGCCAACAGAAGAGAGAGCAGGAGAACAAAGGAAATTTGCTATTGTTCTTAAATTTGATAACCCTACTCTTCCTGTCCACTCAGCCAGGATTGGACCTTGAGTGCCACTGCCTAGGACGGTAGTCTCCAAATTGGAGAGTTTGCATCCCAGAGTGTGTGCAAAATGATCCATTTGATGTATGAAGAAAGTGTGGCAACTTCAATTTCCATTTATTTTTATCTCATTTTTTTAACTCTTATTTTTTGGTGTATGTTTTGTGATGCACATAATGTATTAGTATGGTACTACATGCTGTTAATTAAAGAAAATAATATGCATACGTTGGGATGCATACTTACAATTTTTTTTTTTTTACTGGTGGAGTTCACCATAAGAAAGTATGGAGATCAAGAGACTAGAAGAGATTGGGAAAAGCAGAAGACATGGCTAAAAGAGATTTGTAGGGGACGAAGAAATTTCCTCTACTTTTCTAGATTTTTCTAGCTGGTCTAAGAGTTAAATTAACATGAGATAAATTAATAGGGGAAAATCAAATACATTTAATAACATATAGATGGGAGAAACCCAGGAAAACTGAATAACTCACCAAAATGGCTGAGGCCACCACCTTACATATCCTCGTCAGCTACTGAAAAAGGAGCATGTTGGGGGTAGTGGTTTGGGATTTCAAAGAGAAGAAGGCAATTCACATGGAGATGGAAAAGCAAATGTTTGGTAAACAAATGTTTGCAATGCCTTGCAAAGCCAATGAGATGTGAAGAGGACTTTGATCAAATGGGCCTTGCTGGGTTCCTCCCTGTCTACCACACCTAGGTCATAGTTATCTATGGTATTAGTTCCTTCCTGCAAGATGCCTTCTCTCCTAAATTCTTAGGTGGTTAGAGGGAAGGTCAAAGTTTCTTCCTGAGTCTTTTGTTCTTAAATATAATCAATCCAAAGAGACACATTTTGGGGTAGCAAATTCTGCTTCCCAATAGATTCATATGTTTGAGCTAGTCAAAATAGGAGTAAAAATAACAGGACAGAATAGAGGTTACATAGAATTTTCAAATAAACACCTTCATTTATGGTACGTAGTCCAAAAATTATGGGAAGCTGAGGCCCCAAAGCATTATGTTACAATGCTACCTGGAGGTCGAGCCACAGCAAGAGGAGAGACAAAGAGGGAGCAGGGATGAGCTAACAGGGTGCAGAGTTTTTCACTCTGAAGAAGATGATTAAAGATTTAAAGGAGAAAACACCTACAACCCTTGTAATTTCATGAGTGATAAGTGTGCTAGGAGAATCTTTTGTTCTGAGATACAGTCTTTCACCCCAGTTCCTGACACAGAACTTCTAAGATTCCTTTGGAATCTCTTATTATAGGAGTGTCTTTTTGTATGTTAATGACGTGACTGGTGGCTGGGGGTTCTAGCTTCAGGATGGGGGCTGGTCTACAGGTAAGACCGAGTCATGATTAAGAAGGCTGCAACTTTCAGCACCACCACCAACCTCTGAAGAGGGGAGAAGGGCTGGAGACTGAGTTAACCACCAGTGGCCAATAAATTAATCAATCACATCTACATAATGGAGCCTCCATATAAACGCTAAACAAGGGTGTTCAGAGAGTTTTTGGGTTGGTGACACATCCACATGGTGGGAGGGTGGGGCACCCCAATTCCACAGAGACAGAAGCTCCTGTGATTGGAACACTTTCAGATCTCACCCTATGAACCTCTTCATCTGGCTGTTCATCTGAATCCTTCATAAAATGCCTGTAAATGTAAGTAGATTGTTTCCCTGAGTTCCATGAACTCTTTTAGCCAATTATTAAACAGAAGGAGGGAGTGTGGGAACACTCAATATATAGCTGGTTGGTCAGAAGTACAGGTGGCAACCTGAGATCTGCCAGGTTGTCATCTGAAGTGGGGACAGTCTTGTGGGAGTGAGCCTTTAACCTGTGGGTCTGCACAAACTTTGAGTAGTGAGGGTCAGAATTGAATTGTAGGACACCCAGTTTTTATCTGGAGAGTTGGAGAATTGGTCAGTGTGAGAAATTCCGTGCACATTTGTTGTCAGAAGTGTTGTGAGTAGAGAAACAAGTTTTCTTACATTGACAATGTAAATGCTATTCATGGTGGAACCACATATTAAACAATTACATTTTCTTTCTTGTACAAATTTTTGTTCTCTGTTGCCTTAATAATTGTCTTGTTTTGTTTGCTTTTGCTCTCAAACTCTTCATCAATGGTCTAAATCTTTCTTAGCAATTTTGGAGTCATCAGTTATTTTAAGATTTTATTTGCCTGAGAACGTCTCCCCAGGAACCTCTTGTCTTGCTCCAGTATGGACTTGTCCCCATGCTTGGTTCCCCTCCATTCTTCCTGAGACCCGCCTTTAAAATGGTCCTGGTGATCCTTTGCCTCTCTCTCATTGTGGATCTGTATTGTCTGTACCCCATGTCTTCCTTTATCATTGTATACTTTCTAGCTCTAGATGAGTAGTTCTCAGAGAAAGAGTACATAGAAAGTAAACTTTTCTGGACTTGGCTTGTCTGAAAAGTCTTAATTTTGCCCTTGCACTGAGTATCCAGATAGAGTTTTAGGTTAGAGATAATGGTTTCATTGCCTTCTAGCTGCCAAAATTACCTTTTAAAAATCTGAGACCACTTTAATTTTTAATATTTTGAATTTGGTATCCTCCTCTCCCACTTCCCTCTCTAGAAGCTTGTAGGGTCTTCTCTTTATGCTCAGTACTCTGAAACTTTATGAAGATACCCCAGATGCTTGGAAGGCCCTAATAATATGAAAACACATGTTCTTTAGTTTGGGGAATTTTTCTTCAATGATTTTGTTAATGATTTTCTGCCCTCCATTTATTATTTATTTCTTTTTAGAGTCCCTATTACTTGGCTACTGGATATCCTGGATTGGCATTCTCTTGTTTTTCACCTACATCTTTTTTTTTGCTCTACTTTTTGATATATTTTATAAGTTTTATCTCCCAAGTCTTCATTGAATTTTTAATTTCAGATGTAATGTTTTTAATTCCCAGGAGCTCCTCTTTTAAAATTTTTGAGTATTTTTTTAAACAACGTTCTGTATTTTTTTAATGGCTTTTTAAAATTCTCTTAACTCTGAGAATATTGATGCTTTTGGGAGAAAAGTTTCCTCTCCTTGTATTATTTTTTCCTCCAACTAGATATTTTGTCTGTGTTTTGGTCTTATCTTCCATCTTTTCTCAGATGTCCCAAACTCCCTGTTGTATGTTCATGTTGAGTAAGGGATGAAAAGGCTGATTGGAAACTCTGAACAAATGAATGGGACTTGTTGACCACAAGCTTTACTGTAGAGTGATTGGCTGGCCCAATTATTTGAGGCATCGGTGATATCAACATCTTTCGATCTTTCTCTTGGAATGTTCAGATTCCTGGAAAAAATTATACTTCTCTTGGAGTGTTCAGATTCCTGGAAAAAATTATACTTATCTCCTGCCTGGAGGGTGAAGACCTGGGTGCCAGTGCTCTGGAAGCAAAGTGAGAGAACAGTATTTGTTCACCTAATTTTCCTGTTTTTAGTATACTCTTCCTGCCTCAAATGTAGTTGATATACACCCAGCTTAGAGATCCTCTTTCATTCTCTCCAGGGAATACAATTCCAGTTTTTCTTAGGGTGGGCGGAAGTGTTTGCCCAGTTATGCAAAAGAGGAGAAGTGACCTGAAAATCTGAATCTTAAACTTACTTCTAGCCCATTTTTACCTATTCCTCCCCAGAAGTACCTGGTATTGCAAATCCTGAGTAAAAGTCAGGTTAGTTCTTGACTTTTTCTTCTGTTTGTGGAGGATTCAGTTTTCTCAGATCTGCTATGTTTTGATCACTCTTTCATCTATTGTCCAGCTTCCCAAATGTTTTATGTTTTCTAATTCTCCTTGTTACTGTGGATTGGAGCCTTGAAAATAAATTATAAAACTTCCTTGACAGTCAATTTAGAAGACTTTTGGGAAGGAAGTAAAGGAAGATGCATTGATTCAATCCTTTTCCCTCTTGATGACTTTTGATATAGGGCAGCAGTTTCAAATTTGTTTTTTTGAGTGGAGTCCTGTGTTTAACTGAAAACTTATACAGAAGCTCAGTCTATAAAGTGGATTAAACAGAGCTGTTCTGTTTGAAGACAGGATGAGGGCCTTTGTTTCTACTTTCTCAGTTCTCCATTTGCCTCTTCACTACTATAAGAAATCCTTGGAAAGCATGGTTTGTAATCCACTGATTTAGAAGCTGAATATGATTTCTCTCTCCAGTAGATGTTAGACGTTCAAGTGACGTTTATGGCATTATGGAAAGAGCATTAATTTATTCCTTAAGAGATTAATTTTATTGTTTTCATTTGTGCAAATAGTGTAAGACAGAGAAAAAAACGGTTCTAAAGATTTTTGAGTTGGAATACAATTGGACTCTGGACCTCATTGCTAACTTTATAATCTTAAAAATAACTTTAAAATGCTATTTTTTAATTTGATATGAAAGTGTGGAAGTTTACCTTAATATTAAACAATATTTAACTGTGCTTACACATTTTGATAATTGAGGATGCTGGAAACTCCAAATTTATTTTCAGATAGTTAAAATTGTATTTTATACTCTGTTGCTATTAGATGTAATGTTTTATCCAAAATTGTTTACCTGATTATATGAGTAAGAGAAGGTTTGTACAGTTAGAAAAATATTTAGAGCTTATTCTGTGTGAAATCATTATAAAATTTGTATATGATCCAACCTAATATATATGTGCAGTCTAGCTATTAAAAACATTGTTGTTTCCTTCCTCCTCCACCTTTCTGTGGCACAGACCATCAGTGACCTGATGAAACCATGGATGAAGGTGGTAGTATTCACACAATGTAGGTCACTCAATGGTCCGGGGAAAATGGACACCAAGATTTACAAATTCTGGAAAATGAAATCTATGTTATCACATCTCTAAGTTGACCTGATGTATTTTTAAAGGTAATAAGAAAAAATAAAATAAAAATAAACTAATGAGCAGAAACCAAAACACTCCTTTACTAGTGTAGAGAAGCAAAATGAAGGAAGTGCAAATAGGTCTCTTGAGAATCGTCCCCTTGGAGTCTGACATTCTGCTGTTACTTGTTTGACACTAGCATCATTTCATGGAGGAATCAGTCATCACCCTAAAAAATATATTGCCAGTTGTGCTATAGAAAAGGACTCACCAGCTTCATTTGCAGGAATGGGACACCTTTACAAAAAAGAAACATGATGGAACTCCTGTGAGAAACACGCAGTATTTCGATTGCTGTTGCCTATTGGAAGGACTCTGAAAACAGGTAATAGCATTGTCCTCCTTGTGACCTCTTTTGGAGGCAGACTGTGAATGGGACATGGGACCTCTGTAAGACATATCTAGTGGAGCACTGAGAGATGGATGAACAGGTTCCTGAGGATGGGTACTCTTTCAACCTTCTTACAGAAGATTGCTGAAAGAGGAGAAAACATTAACTTTGTAGAGCTGTCAACTGTAGAAAAGGAAAAGTCCTGGGAAAGACTGTTTCTGGAGAAGTGTATGCTGGGATGACTGTGCAAGTCACATGAAGGTTGCCTGTGAGCACACAAGGACACTCAATAATATGTGACCACAACAAGGTGTGAGTGCCATGGCCTCAACTAGCTTTTTGACATTATGAAGCTGGCCTTTTGCCAAAAGATTTCTAGAAGAGCCAAAATGTTGTGAAACAATCAGAAGCCACTCATTGCTGCTGTCCTCAAGAAGAAATCAGAGGAAAACATGCAAAGGACTAAACCATGTCACTGAAGTTGTGTTGCAAACCATTGATCAGATTGAACTATCTGCTCTATGATAATCTCTTGAGAGAAATGATGCAGCTCTTCAAGCAAATGCCATATTTGGGTGGTGCCAAATCTCGTTTTCCTGAGGTCCCCACCAAAAATGTTTATCTGTTTTTATTTCTCTCCAATGTTTCACACAGACCTCTCATTTGTGGAATCTTGAGTGTGACCATGTAATGTGGGATCCAAGGCCATGATCTGTAAGAGGTCATGAGGGAGGACCGTGACTCCAGGGTCCTCCCCATCTGAAAAGTGGTCTCCATCCACTGCTTCTTCACCTGCATCCCTGCTTTATTTTACCCTCCTTCTCTCTCTTCCCTCTTTCTCCTTTTGCTTTTCTTTTTGTCATGTTCATAGGCATCCCTGCCTTTTAAGCCTGCCTTAGTTGGATCTTCATGGCTTCCAGAGCCTGGATGGTTGATCGGAACAAGTATCACGTTGTGCGGTTGGTGGTGGAGGCAAAATGTAACATGCATTAAATCGCTTTATAAATGGTGAGGCGTTCTAACAGGTTGTTTGTTACTCTCCCTAGCGTTGTTATAGGATGTGACTCATCCTACACACAGCAGTCCCTCCCTGTGGGCTTGTCCTGAGCTTTGTTCTGAGCTCCTCTTGTCATTCCACTGACTATTGCTTCCTTGGCTCCTACTGTGAGGTCTGTTCTGTATCTGATCTCCCAGTTGCCCTTCTCTGTCTTTCCCTTCTTTTCATTATGACTTCTTTACTCTTTCTCATTTTCTCAGAGACTTCTTAGGAAAGGATTAATTTTGGTTTGCCAAGCACATTGAAGCTAAGGTGTTAATATCTAACAGCTTTAATATTAACATGTCAGAAATTCACGTTTTAACTGGAGACTCCTGGAACTTCAAGGTGGAGCCTGCCAGCAAAATATTAGGCATGCTGAGAGGCCAGTGGAGGAGAAAAAGGAGCCTTTTCTTAGTTCTTCCAGGACTTGTGCATGGGGATGACTTCTTACTCCACCCATTCAAGAGAGGAGTCTTAATATAATGTATACAGGCTATTGAATAAAATATTAACCCGGGTCATGAAGGGTCAGGGAAGGTTTGTGGTTAGAAGAGGGAATCAAGGATGAGGGCATTTTAAAGGGAAAGTAAGAATGAAATAGTACAATAAGAAATAAAGTGCAAAATATGGGTATTTCAATCACTACTGGAGACTCTGTTTTGTTAAAATTTCACTGCATCTGGCTCTGATAAAGAACAGGCAAGTACAGGTTAAACAAATAGAAACAAGGTGTCATTGAGCTGGGAGTGATTTGCACGGCAAGGGAAATCACAAGAATCCTATTTTCAAATCTTGGGGGACTAGGAGTGTATACTGGTAGCTAGGCTTTTGCATGAATCCAGGGAGAGAGCTTTCTGGATTTATGGTCTCAGCAGGGTGCCTTAGCCACAGAGGCTGTTTTTCCTTGTGGATGTGTTTTAGAACTTCAGAGTAGGAACTGAGTCTGCGTAGAACTTCTCTGGAGAAGATGCCCTCCCCACCCGTATTGATCTTCATGGTTATCTTTTTCCTGGAGTCACTGCTGCAATGCTGCAGAATGGCTTCATTGTTGCTGTGCTGGGCAGGGTGTGGGTGCGATGCCGCACATTGCCCACAGGTGATATGATTGTGGCCTATCTGGCTGCCTCCCAGTTCTGCCTGCATGGGATGGCCCTCCTGAACAACCCCACGGGCTCCCTTGATTTTTGTTCCAAAGTTTACTATTTCAACATCCCGTGGGACTTTATCACCAGTCTCAGTTTCTGGCTTACTGCCTGGCTTGCTCTCTTCTACTGTGTCAAAATTTCATCCTTCTCTCATCCCATCTTCTTCTGGCTGAAGTGGAGGATTTCTCAATCAGTGCCCAGGCTGCTGCTGGGATCCCTGATCATATCTGGTGTGACAGTCATCTCATCTGTCACTGGGCATAGCATTGTTCCCAGAGTTCCCATGGAAATCACACTCTGGCTGATAGAATATGGACCTTCTCTCAGCCCTTTTTTCTATCTGAAGAGGTGTTTGTGTTGTCTATTCCCTTCCTCCTGATCCTGGTGTCCACCCTCTTGCTCATGTTCTCACTGCGCCGGCACTTGTGGCAGATGAGGGACCACAAACCTGGTCCACGTGATCCCAGCACCCAGGCTCACACCATGGCCCTGAAGTCACTTGCCTTCCTCCTTGTCTTCTACACATCACATTTCCTGTCCCTTATTATTGCTGTTATGAAAATCACAAGCCTTCAGAATCACTGGCACTGGGCCTGGGAAGTGGTGACCTATGCAGGCATCTGTCTGCACTCCAGCATCCTGGTGCTAAGCAGCCACAAGTTGAGAAAGGCTCTGAAGATGCTGTCTTGGAAAGCCCTGGAGAAAAGGTGGTTCATCTCAAGTTATCAGTATCATTAACCACTTTCAATGGACAAGCACAGGAGTGTCAAGAATGCACACGGTTTATGTGTTGTCCTTCTCTCTTTTCATTTCCTTCTCTCTTTCTCACTCTTTTCATGCCACGTTAATTATTTGTTGATGCTTCCTTGTTCCTACCACCTCCTTCACTGCTCCTAGTACCTATTCTGAGTCTGAAACCACTTCAGGCTCGTATGATGGCTTTATTTCCTCACAGGGCTCTCTCACCCTCTATATGAGCAACCCTAATAATATTCTCCAAGCATCATTGTGTTCTGTACTCCCTTTACAGAGATGTGTAACGGTTGTCAGTTTTCTCTATAGTGAACCCAAAGTGTTTCTTTTTAATGGTAGCATATATTGTCCCACGCCATCCACTTTGCAACATCAACTGGCCTCCTCCTCCCTGCTCTGCTCTCAGCTCAGTCTCTCTACTTCAGCCCAGTAAAGCTTCTTCCCTCTCCTCTCGTGTTCCTCCCTCTAGCCCATGGTATTTGGTCCACTTGCAGCTTCCCTCTTTTCTTTCACCAGTCTTTGCCATTCCCTTCTTTTCTGCCCTGCTTAAGACCCATTCCACCCATGGAGCTTTTTCAGTTTGATCCCATGGAAAGCTGAGGGCAGATATGAATTTTTGGCACTATATATCCTATCCATGTTTTTTTGTGTTTACTCCATGTTGAATTAAAAGGAATTATCTGATGTTTAAATGCTTCTAGGTTTTGGCCAACAGAAGATAGAGAAGGAAAACAAAGGAAATTCGCTGCAGTTAATTTTGATAATGCTACTCTTCCTGTCCTCTCAGCCAGGAATGGACCCTGGATGCCAATGCCTAGAATAGTATTCTCCAAATCTGGGTGTTTGATTACTGGAGTGTGTGTGAAGTGATCCTTTGGATGTGGGAAGAAAAATGTTACAACTTCAATTTCCATCTATTTTTATCTCATTCTTTTAATCCCTATCTTTTAGTGTATGTTTATGATATACATAATGTAGTCAAGTAGTACATGCACTTAATTAAATAAATAGATATACATATGGTGGAATGCATATTCATAATTTTTTTTACTGATGGAGTTCACCATGAAAAAATATGGAGACCAACAGACTAGAAGAGATTGGGAATAGCACCAGACATGATTGAGAGAGATTCGTATGTTTGAGCTAACCAAAATTGGAGAAATAAATAACAGGACAGAATAGATGTTACAAAATTTTCAAATAAATGACTGCATTTATGGTAAGTTGTCCAACAATCTTGGGAAGCTCAGGCCTCAAAAAATTATCTTACAGTGTTGGCTGGAGGCTGAGCTATGGAAGAGAGAGAAAAAGAGGAGCAGAGATGAGCTAACAGGGTCAGGAGTGTTTGCTTGGAAGAAGATGATTAAGACTTTAAAAGAGGAGATTCCCAAATTGCTGGAGAGGAGCACAAGGGATTTCTCAGAGAGTAGAGAGAAGGCAAGGCTGGGTAGAGAAAACTGTGGGAAGCTGGTATTATCAAAAAGAGTTTTTCTTTTTTCTTTCTTTCTTTTTTTTTTTTTTGGCAGCAACATGAGTGAGCTGATGACTTCCTACAGGGAGGGCAATAAGAAATTGTGAGGATTGAGTCTTGAGGCTTAACCCACAAGAAGGTTGAGTAGATTCGGCAAAGGCAGGAGCATCAGGGATGTCACCTGGAAGACTTGCTTTTCCCTTTTCCAGAACTTTACTGAATGTCTTGGGTGGAGAGGGGATGGTGCTGGGACTCTCACGTTCTGCAGTATTTCCATAGCTGTTTGACTTGTGCCAGGTCTAATGGGCTTATCTCAAAAGTTCTCAATGGGTTGATGATCTCAACCTCCCTTTCCTAGGCTTTAGCTCGTAAGAGCCCAGAAATGTTTGGTGGCTCCATCTTGACCAAAGATGCAACCCAATATCTCATCCTACCTTTCAAGACTTTCTCTCCCTAGCCTACCTTTTCAGCCTGACATGCCACCATTTCCTTATGTGAATCTTCTGTGGTAGCCAAACTTATGTAATTATTCCCTAGACATAATCACACTTCCACTTCTTTTACTGATGCCATGTCTCCTTCCTTCCAACATACAAGACAGCATCTTTGTTGTCCCACAATGAAGGGGATGCTGCTGCTACTGACCTGTTCTGAGAATTCTTGGTCTGAGAATAGGATGACATATAACATTTAGAACCACAGCCTGGGAGTCCTCCTTTTTTATACCTTTGAGAGAGAGTACTGAGTTGAGTGTCTCCCGTGTAAGGAACATACTCAGTATTCCTACCTCTACCACCCTCCTATAACACATATAGACTAGCTGTGAAAATTTTAGAATTCTCAGACTTGGCTTCCACCTAAGAAGATAGATCTGAATATGAGAAATCAAAATGCCACAAATGAAAAGCACTAACAACAAAAGAATCACCATGAAACATATTGCATATTTAAATACAAATAATTACTCATCCTTTAGAATTAACTTAATCTGCATATAGAATATGCCCAGTAAATGTTTGTGGTTTATAATTAGTTCATGAAAGCACTTTGAGGGAAGACACCTAGTTCATTGTTGTAGTCACAGTACCTTTTGTAGGGTCGTAATGACGTACAGGAGATGCTTAACAGGTGGTTGTTAATTGAATTGAGAGTAACAGCACATCTTTCCCATTGTATGAGCCATCAAAAATGTAGGAGGTAGATGTAGGAGAACAATTTTGCCTGGACCTTTGTTCAAAGTGGACTGGGAACTGGAAAGAGATGCTGAGTATTCTGCATTCTATTCTCTCTTTGTGGGATTCTATGCATGGAACTGGTAGGCTAAGGTGCTGGCCAGGAGGGGAGTATACTACAAAATACTCCCTCACTCTCATGTTATTTGATCATGAGCCTTCAATATTGCCATATGTGACCCAGAACAATTTCTGCTTGCCTATTTCCCCATTACACATTAACCTGCTTACACTCACCTGGACAAGTAAGCATTCACCTGATTGCTGATTTTTTGTTTTTTTTTTGACTCTTTGAATATCATTCCTGTGGAAAATGTGACCTTTGCTTACCCCGCCTTCCTCTGGTTAAAGTAGATGGCCCAATATTTGGTGCTCTGGACTCTACTGCATCCCTGACACTCTCTTGAATTCTCCTTGGACTACTTGTCACTCCACAGGATGAATGGCATGGAAGGTAGTCATTAAAATAACAGTCGTCATAATCACCATAATTATTTCTTACATATGTACAGAGATTTACAGTTTCCAAATTACTTTCATATATATATGATCACATTTATTTGTGATCCATATCTTATAGATGAAGAAAGAGGGTTTCAGACAGGTTAAACGACTGGCCTGAAGATCCATAGATAGTGATTGTGACAAGACTCAAAACCCGGTCTTCTGACTTGAGCTAGAGATGAAAAAGATAAGAGTAAAAGATGTGTTGCCAACTACGGCAAAGACCTCTGGTCTTGGAATCAATTTGGATCTTGGTCTTTCCTCCATGTAACTGTGACTTTAGGTGTGAGTCTTCATCTATAATTTGAGGTCTTATTTCTTTCATCTGTAAGATTATTTTAATGTCTTCTTTCACTCTAAAAACTGAGATTGTAGTCTTAGATTCTAGTCTAATCCTGTAGATTAGGACAAATGATACTTTTCACATCTTACAGATGGACAAACTGAGGCACAAGGGGCTAACTGACAACACACCCACTAACTCACAATGAGGGACGGAACTTGGACTAAGGCCTGTCCTGACTCCTAGTCCGGTGTTCTTTTTGCCACATCCCATTGGTTTTAGAGCTATCATCGTTGAAGGTTCTTTTGTGAAATGCCACTTTAAAGGTCACTAATTATAAAATATTGTAAAAGAATTCATCTGCCTGATTCTACATAATTGTCTCCTATGTTCTATTTGATGATGACAGTCACCACAAGTTATAGGATTTGAATTAACCTCTTTCAGTAGAGGTTTGGCTCGATTTTCTCTCTGTCTGTGAAGGAGGTATTCTAAAAGCACCTCCTTTATAGGGTCATTGTAAGAACCAAAGACAATGGAGAACACTTAGAACAATGCCCAGAATGTAACAACCAACCAGTGGATATGAGCCCTGACTGTCTGTAGGGGATGTACCCTGTGGATTTCCTTACTGAGCTGCCAGCAGGTGTGTGGTCATGTCTTAGGTGTCATCTTAGAGAAGTATAACCTCCTGTGTAAAGGATGCTAAATGTAAGGGCCTGATATATTATCCACACCAGTATTGACATGGGCAGAGTGTAGACAGAGAAAGGGTAGGCAAATTCTCAGGCAGGAAGGTAGACTTTTGAAATTGAGCCTTAATGATATTTGCATCTATTCTGAGAAGAAGAAACCTCTTCACCCTCCTCAGATAGCCTGAGTCCTCTACTCTGTCCTCTACACTTTGGGCAGCTGGAGGGACAAACATCATACAGGACCTTCCAGAGCAACCATACAGAAATAGACCTTGAAGTCTTGGGGCCCGTCTTGTCCAAAGGAGAGATGAATGGAGACAACCTGGTTCCAGGACCTCCGGTGACTGATAAGAGAGCCATCACCTTGGCTATCATTTTATTCCTTTTGTGCCTGGTGGCAATGGTGGGCAATGGCTTCATCACTGCAGCACTGGGCATGGAGTGGTTGCTATGGAGAATGTTATCACCTTGTCATGTTATTGGTCAGCCTGTGGGCCTCTTGCTTCTGTCTACGGTGGGTGGTGATGAGTAAGAGCATTTATGTTTTTCTGTGTCCACTGGCCCTCCCATACTACCCTGTACTTCAGTTCCTAGCCTTCCAGTGGGACTTTTTGAACGCTGTCACCTTATGGTTCTCCACTTGGTTCAGTGTCTTCTATTGTGCGAAAATTGCAACCTTCACCCACCCTGTCTTCCTCTGAATAAAGCAGAAGGTGTCTGGGTTGGTTCCATGGATGCTGCTCAGCTCTGTGGGGTTCTCCATCTTGAGCACCATCCTATTTTTCATAGGCAACCAG